TTCCTGTACGGGGGGGTTTGCGCCCGCGGCCGGACCCGGTGCTTTTCCCGCCCCCGGGGGGGGCGGGGGGGGGCGGGTTGCCCCTGTCTCTTTGGCAGGTAGCGCCGCGCCCCTGCCAGCCGATCACGCTGTTCCTCTCCGTCGAAAGGTGATTGGGTGGTAGCGCCGAGCGGCCTTCTCTCCGCCGGGCCAGCGGGGCGTTTTGCTCTCCGCTTATCGTTGCCGCCGAGGGACATGTGACTGCGGGAGCGGGCTCTGTAGCGAACGCGCTGGGGAAGCGGCCTGCTTCCTTTTCCTGCTGCCGCGCGAGGCCTTCAGCCCGAGATCGCAGGGGCGCCACGGAGGCGCCGCGGCCCAGGCTTTCTATGTGGAGGCCGCAGTAACGGAGACTTGGCCGATTTGCTCCGCTCGCTCCTTCGAAGGTGCCGCCAAGTAAGACGATTTCCGCGCTCGGGACGGAGAAAGGTGAGGGCTCAACGGGAGAGCTGGGGGCTATTGGGGTGCGGGAGCGGCGGGGAGACAAAGGCTGTATCCCGAGGCCTGCGACCGCGCCGGTTCTCGTGGAGAGGCTTGGTGGAAAGCAGGCCCCGGGCTCGGTCCGGCTTCCCTCCGAGGCGCGGAAGGATGTCAGACACTCTCCTTCGCGGGAGATCCTTGAAAAACTCGCCGTTTCTGGACGAACGGCGTTGTTGGTAATCCAATCTTGTCGCTTCGACCCAGTCGGCGGAGATTTTACTTGTTTGACGAAGGTCTGTGTAACAAAGTTACGCGCAGAATTCCGGGGGCGGATGAGTTCAACCAAGTGCGAGACTCTGACCTCGGATACTCAAGAGCGTTTGATAACTAGCCCTAGTGAAGTGTTTATGATATCCTGAGCTTTCTTTTGTTTACTGCTGGCACCTTAGAGAGCTTGGTTTTGCACTACGGTAGTATGTCTGCGAAGGTTGAGCTGCTTAAAACGGATTCTGTGGGGCGGCTAAAGGAGAAGGGGTCTGCAGAGCCTTTAAGCCTTAATTGTAAATCTGGAGAGAGAAATGCTGTATCCGTATTTTATCCGTATCCGTATGGATGGCAGTTATTCAAGTCACAAAAAATGACGTCGGCTCCGAAAGGACGATGAGTGTTATGCTTTAGAGAATACAGAATATACACTTTACCTTCATCTAAAGAATTGCTGAATACTGTTTCCATTACTTGATGAGATATGTAGACCATTAAGCCTGGGAGGAAGATTCAGAAGATAATGGTTAATGTTAAAAGAATAACATAGTTTTAAATGTCTAAGGGTGTAAGAAAAGTGATAGTAAACTTTCAGTTTCCTTTTCCTGAAATACATCTGTTAGAAGGCACCAATTCTCAGCAATTACTGTAAATACAGAGAATATTTGAGCATAGATTCCCTGATGTGATTTGCATGACATTCTAAGAGTTTTTGTTATAGAAAATCATATAACTATATGACACTATTAGTCTTGCTGTATTCAAATTGTACATGAAAGATGTCAATTGAGATTTTTTTGAGCCTTTCAAGTTAAGACCAGCACATGAGGGAGTCATGGTTTGCTAAATTAATTTGTATACTGTTGTAAGGACCTTAACCTTTAATTGTCTAGTTCAAATAATGAAATTGCATTTTCACAGGTTTCCTGGTTGAGTACAGTTTAATGGTATATATTTTTATGCCCAGTGGGATTTGTAAATGTGTACAGATAGGCATTTACACAATAGTAATTTAAGTGATAGGAATTATTGCTGCAGAATTTCCCAGTTTGCTATATTTGGTTTATATCTCTCAACATCCACAGTCAACATTTCCAGGGGCTAGTCTGATTATTACCTTATCTGAATAGCAGCAAATTGGGCAAATGTTGTTATGAATTCCTCTAACTATGGTTACCACATAACAGCTGGTAGTGGGAATAAGTGAACTTCAAAATATGGAGAGGAGCGTCACTTCAAATTTGCATACATGCCTCTTGCTGCACTATAGTTATGCCATGTCATATGCATATGCTCACTAGACTTTTGAACTATGCAATTTGTCTTGGAATACACTGAAAAGAGGCGGGAGGGAGTTTCAGCAAATGGTATTTTGCAGTACAAAGTTATTGTTTAAATCAGCAGGTGAGAGGTATCAGACTATTTTTTCAAGTGCATATGAATCATTTTCACACAATCCACTTAGGCATGTTTTGTTGTGGAAAGAAGGAGACAGTAAGAAGAGGGTGTAACCAAGGACTTTGAATGTTTGTAGTAGAATTTAACATACTTTGGAAATGGGAATCTTGATTTTTTTAAAGATGCTCATAATCTCTTTCTCAAATGTGGTAGTTAGATCATGTTTTGCTTACTGCAGAGTAGCTTTTGGAGCAGAAGTTTATATTTATGTGCCCAGTTACTGAAGCCCCCATTTTATGCAGTCTGGGAAAAAAGGTAATACGAGAGCAGAGAAGATTGGCCAATGCTTAGATTCAGTGATAGAAGCCATTTGACTGAGCCAGGGTGATTCTCATACAATCCAAAAGGGAAGCCTTTCTGTTTTGGTCAGTCTTTAAGCACCCATTAATATTTTCAGAAATATGCTAGTTGGGTCTGGTATATGATAGTTTATTTGTTTGTCATTTTTGCTATATGCTATATCGGGCTCTTATCTGTAGCCCAATAAATGTGTGGCTAGTATCCACATACTGTCTTATGTTCACAGATCCCTGGATGCAAGCCAATAAAAAACACTAAAAAGTTATAATAGGCCAATAGAAAACACTGCATATGATAATCTAGGAAGATCTGAATCTGTTTCAAAACACCATGAGAGAGGCAACAAAATCCAGAGGTAAAGGTTAGCAGCAGAACACAGATAAGACAATGCCTGCTGTCTTGAAAGTTGGATAGCATTATGTGGGAAGAAATATTCTGTAACAGTGGTTCCCAGACTTTGCAGTACCATGAACCTCTGAAATAAAAAATAAATTTGTACATTGCCTCATGAATAAAACTAATGGTTATTGGGGTTAGGGTTAGTCAAGAAATATGTTGCTTATTAAAATGTATGTAACTTTCATCATACTTAGACTCCCTTTTATCAACACTACAGCTGATTGGTTCTCTTACTGCCCCCCCCCAAAGCTTTTCTATTTTGAAACACATTAACACATTTCTATATTTATGTTATATTGCTACATAGATAGATTACTACATTCAAATCTGGAAGTCATAGACCCATAGGTTTAATTAATCTCAAAACTCATTCCAAACTTTGCTCTTTGCTTTGCCTGGACAACCCTGTAAGAAGTTTGGCAGCATTCCTACTCTGCCTGTATAAGCCTGATCCATTTTAAAGAAATTGTGTGATTCCTTTCTAAGTTGCTGATAATCCCTTAGGTAATTGCAACCCACAGCTTAACAACTCCTTTTCTATACAGGTAGTCCTTGACTTACGACCACATTTGGGACGAACTTCCATTGCTAAGCGATGTGGTCGTTAAGTGAGTCGTGCCTGATTTTACAATCTTTTTTGCGGTGGTTGTTAAGCAAATCACACAGCTGTTAAGTGAATCTGGCTTCCCCCATTGACATTGCTTGTTGGAAGCCCTCTGGGAAGGTTGCAAATGGTGATCATGTGACCTTGAGACACTGCAACCATCGTAAATACATGCCAGTTGCCAAGTGCCCAAATTTTGATCACGTGACTGCAGGGACACTGCAATGATCGTAAGTACAAGGTCGAGTTGTAAGTCACTTTTTTTCAGTGCTGTTCTAACTTCGAACAGTTGTTAAATGAATGGTCATAAATCAAGGACTACCTGTATGTAATCTGAAGCTGTTTAGGTCCTCAAAAGGCACTTTGGTTTCTACTTTTAAATAGCGTACCAGTAAAACTGATAACATAGTGGAATAAATTGGGTCAGACCCTTCAGTGTTGCATTCCACATCACATACATTGCAGAAGTAACTCTATGGGCTGTGTTATAATTATTCACTTTTTATGTAAAGAAAGCATGCAGTAATATCCCCAGACTTGCTTTCTTGTGATACCACAAATAGTTGGCACAGTGATGACTGTTCTTTTGAAATCTAGAAGTGAAACCTGGATCCAGTAGCACTGTGAGATTGTCCTATTGACTATACCTATTTTATGCTGGTCTCATTCACATAGTTACATACCCATCATTCTGTTCCATTTCAGGGTGAGCAACATGCAGTACAGAAAAGAGGAAGAAATAGTAACCAAAATAATAGACAAAAGATTGAGTTATGCTGGCACAAATCACTATACCACTCCATACATTTTTCTCCATGCTACTGTAATGTCCATACATCAATTCATTAGTTGCCTGTCAGTCTTTAAACTTCTTACCTCTCTCTTTTTGTTGATCTGTTCAACTCCATCCAACCATGATTTTCTTGGTTTGCACCTTCCTCCATTCACTCTTCCTTCATGTTCATATGGAGTATTTGTTTTGCAGTTATACTATGTACTTTTTTCTTATAGGTCACACACTTTTGTACTTAATCCACAGTCATTCAAATTCCATTCATTCTCAACCCTACCCCTTCTTGTTTTATACACATACTTTTAAGTAAACTATTCCCATGCATTCAAGTTTCTCCTAACATACTGAACTTTAACTACCATATGAGAACATGGGCATAAGCGTTTATACAGGTGAAACTCGAAAAATTAGAATATTGTGCAAATGTTCATTTATGTCAGTACGGCAACTCAAAAGGGGAAACACTTCAAGCATCATGCATTGTGTGCTTCTCCATTCTTCTATTTATGTCAGTACGGCAACTCAAAAGGGGAAACACTTCAAGCATCATGCATTGTGTGCTTCTCCATTCTTCTATTTATGTCAGTACGGCAACTCAAAAGGGGAAACACTTCAAGCATCATGCATTGTGTGCTTCTCCATTCTTCTATTTATGTCAGTACGGCAACTCAAAAGGGGAAACACTTCAAGCATCATGCATTGTGTGCTTCTCCATTCTTCTATTTATGTCAGTACGGCAACTCAAAAGGGGAAACACTTCAAGCATCATGCATTGTGTGCTTCTCCATTCTTCTATTTATGTCAGTACGGCAACTCAAAAGGGGAAACACTTCAAGCATCATGCATTGTGTGCTTCTCCATTCTTCTATTTATGTCAGTACGGCAACTCAAAAGGGGAAACACTTCAAGCATCATGCATTGTGTGCTTCTCCATTCTTCTATTTATGTCAGTACGGCAACTCAAAAGGGGAAACACTTCAAGCATCATGCATTGTGTGCTTCTCCATTCTTCTATTTATGTCAGTACGGCAACTCAAAAGGGGAAACACTTCAAGCATCATGCATTGTGTGCTTCTCCATTCTTCTTCCAGACTCTGGGTCCTTGGTTCCCAAATGAGATGCAAAAGTTGCTCTCATCAGAAAAGAGGACTTTGGACCACTGGGCAACAGACCAGTTCTTTTTTTTCTATAGACCAGGTAAGACGCTTCTGACGTTGTTTGTTGTTCAGGAGCGGCTTGACAAGAGGAATACGA